GGGGCCTCAAAACGCTGGAAGGGGCCCGGACCTCTCTGGATCCCGAGAGAGCCTGGCAATGCACTGAGAGAGTCTAGAGGAATTCTGCCGTCATTAACTCTGTGCTACTGAAGACAAGGCAACTTGGGTCAGTATCTTGTGTTCAGCCGCAGGCTTTCTTTGAGCTGCCCCTGCCTTTGCTTCTATTAGAGTTCACTAGCTTAGGTCAGCTACACAGAGTTTAGTGTACATTTTTTACACTACAATTTAGACCAGGGCTACTCAACATACGGCCCACATTTGTTTGTTTGTGGCCTGCAGTACAGTTTGGGTTTACGCAGGGCTCAACACGCAGCCTGCGGGTGAAAGCCAAAACAAAAAAGTAGTCAATAGAATGGTCTTCTGTTGAGATGCGTTTTAGTAGTTTCATTTCTGGACTGTCATTGCTCACTAAAAGTGCTGTCATGTGGGTGGAAATCGGGTAAATATTGCATTGTATTAATATCAGCAGAACTGACTTAAATAGGGCCTGCATGTTGTGTAATCTTGCCTTAATCTTGTGTTCATGCCAGTCAGGGTGAAAGCAGCTATTTGCAGATATATGCAATCACACTTAAATTGCGGACCTCGGCATGTGCTGTAACACTGTAGCCCCTGGGGCTTTCAAAGTTGAGTAGCCCTGGTTCAGACGTACCTTCAGCTCGTGGAGCTCACTCTGTGGGTCAGGGACCAAGCCCACATAGGAAGCCAGTTGTAAAGACCCAGCATTCCAGCAGCTCTCCACTTCGACTAAGAATCAACATCAGCGACTCCAGTCCAGGCAGGGAGTAATGCACCCCTATATACTAGCATGAGGCACTCCTTGGTAGGGATGTCAAATCCCAACTAGTCAGTGAACTGGGTAAATGTTAGGTTAAATGTTAGGCTAACCTAACCTAACTGGTTAACCGACTAAGTGAGTTCCCGGAGCTGGGGCTGCTGCCGCCAGCGGCAGCAACAAACTCCTGGCCCGAGCCACAGTTCTGGGGCTGCTGCTGCTGGTAGTAGTCTCCCAGGCCTGCGAGCGGGGCAGTTGCTGGCTCACGGCCCCACTCGGGTAGTCCCTCCATCCTGGGCACCAGTTAACCAGTACCTGGTAAGCATCCCTACTCCCTGGCCCAGATGTCTAGACTGTTCTGGCTCAAATTACGTCAGCATTAGATCTCAGTAGCACTCTGCAGCTGACGCATGCCATTGCTTTTTGATGTCAGAGCTCTGTGATGCACAACCCTGCTGAAATCAATGGCAAACAGCCTCAAGACTCCGCCCTATGCCCATGGGCTTCTGCTAGCCAAAAACTGACCAAGCCTTCCTTCTAGAAGAGACAGTCTAACTAGTTTTAGCTATTAACGACTTTAATCCAAGCCTCCAGGTTACCCGACTGCATGTTAGACAAAGTCATCTAAAAACTAAGTGCTTCCCCCCCCTCCCCAAACACTCCCACCGTGTTTTTCTATTCATGATGCAATCTCAGTTGCTACATATATATTCGTTATTTATAAATCTTTGACAGATATTTTATCTTTTCATCCTATGGATTGCTTGTGAACCGCTTGTTCTTTATTTGCAGACCTAATTGGTCACTTATTTCACATGGTTTTAGATTTGTGTCTGGATTGGACTGACTTTTTTAATGGGAGATTTCTGGAGAAGGAACAATGAATAAAGGACAATGAACCAGGAATGGCTTTGTTTACATAGGAATACCCTTGTTCATGTCTGAATACAGGGATTCATACAAAGGTCAGCTGCAAAACATTCAGGCCAGCAAAAGTATTTTATTCACCACTTACAAATATTTATGCAAATAAGCAACAATACTCGTGCCCCCAAATGGAATTCAAAGACACACGTGTAAATGCAGACTGCCCAAAGAGAAAAGCCAAAAGAAACATTTCAAGCTGTGAAAAATTAAGGCTCTAGCAAAAAATTCACAAGAAACTCAGAAATAATTAGTTCCCTGAAAAAAAAGTAAGAACTTTGCCAAGTGAAGTGCTCGTTATTTTCGGTTATCTGTCTCTTTCTGCAGATTATCTGGGACAAAATCACTACTAGGCTTTCTTGTTTCTTTGTGCTCCTGTCTCAGGTGTCCAATACTTAGTTCCAGTAGGCAATTTTGCTCCGGCATCTGTTTATGAGTCAAGAAATCTATCCCTAACCACAGCAATTCTGAGCCAAAACCTCTTGAGAAAAATACTAAGCTCACATATATTCCAC